CACTAGAGGGGTCACCGGCAGGAGGAAAAGAGGTCCTGATTCCTCTATATAGATCCTATCACTAGAGGGGTCACCGGCAGGAGGAAAGAGGTCCTGATTCCTCTATATAGATCCAATCACTAGAGGGGTCACCGGCAGGAGGAAAGAGGTCCTGATTCCTCTATATAGATCCTATCACTAGAGGGGTCACCGGCAGGAGGAAAGAGGTCCTGATTCTCTATATAGATCCAATCACTAGAGGGGTCACTGGCGGGAGCGGGAAGGAGGTCCTGATTCCTCTATATAGATCTATTATATCACTAAAGGGGTCACCGGCAGGAGGAAGGAGGTCCTGATTCCTCTATATAGAATCTTTATATCACTAGAGGGGGTCACCGGCGGGAGGAAGGAGTCCTGATTCCTCTATATAGATCTATATATCACTAAAGGGGTCACCGGCAGGAGGAAGGAGGTCCTGATTCCTCTATATAGATCTATATATCACTAAAGGGGTCACCGGCAGGAGGAAGGAGGTCCTGATTCCTCTATATAGATCTTTATATCACTAGAGGGGTCACCGGCGGGAGGAAGGAGGTCCAGATTCCTCTATATAGATCTATCACTAGAGGGGTCACCACCGGGGGGAGGAAGGAGGTCCTGATTCCTCTATATAGATCTATATCACTAGAGGGGTCACCGGCAGGAGGAAGGAGGTCCCGATTCCTCTATATAGATCTTCTATCACTAGAGGGGTCACCGGGGGAGGAAGGAGGTTCTGATTCCTCTATATAGATCCTATCACTAGATGTTTCAAGGGCAGGGCAGGAAGGGAAGGAGGTCCGATTCCTATAGATCTATACATAGAGGGGTAGGAGGATTCCTCTATATAGATCATAGTAGAGGGGTCACCGGCAGGAGGAAGGAGGTCCTGATCCCTCTATATAGATCCTATCACTAGAGGGGTCACGGCAGGAGGAAGGTTGGTCCGATTCCTCTATATAGATCCTATCACTAGAGGGGTCACGGCAGGAGGAAGGAGGTCCCGATTCCTCTATATAGATCTATCAATAGAGGGTCACCGGCAAGAAGGAGGTCCGATTTCCTTCTATATAGATCCTATCAAGAGAGGTCACCGGCAGGAGGAAGGAGGTCCTGATTCCCCTTATATAACTTTATATCACTAAAGGGGTCACCAGCAGGAGGAAGGAGGTCCCGATTCCTCTATATAGATCTTTATATCACTAGAGGGGTCACCAGCAGGAGGAAGGAGTCCCGATTCCTCTATATAGATCTTTATATCACGATAGTCACCAGCATGGATGGAAGGAGGTCCTGATTCCTCTATATAGATCTTTATATCACTAGAGGGGTCACCAGCAGGAGGAAGGAGGTCTGATTCTCTATATAGATCTCATAGAGGGGGTCACCGCAGGAGGAAGGAGGTCCTGATTCCTCTATATAGATCTTTATATCACTTAGAGGGGTCACCCAGGAGGAAGGAGGTCCTGATTCCTCTATATAGATCTTTATATCACAAGGGGTCACCGGCAGGAGGAAGGAGGTCCTGATTCCTTATAGATCCTATCACTAGAGGGGTCACCAGCAGGAGGAAGGATGGTCCCCGATTCCTCTATATAGATCCTATCATAGATCACCGGCAGGAGGAAGGAGGTCCTGATTCCCTATATAGATCTTTTATATCACTAGAGGGGTCACCGGCAGGAGGAAGGAGGTCCTGAGTCCTCTATATAGATCTTTTCACTAGAGGGGTCACCGGCAGGAGGAAAGAGGTCCTGATTCCTCCTTATATGATTCTATCACTAAGGGTCACCGGCAAGGGGTCCTGATTCCACCAGTTGGACCTTCAGTTATGCATCATTTAGAATACCGAGTCCAGTCTTGGAGACTTCTCTTTCGAAAAGATAGAACAAGTCCAGAGACTGGCCACAAAAATGGTGAAAGACCTGAGGGATAAAACATGTCAGGAGGAGAAACCTTTAAACACATGAAGGGTTTGAATGAATTTCAGGAGGCAGCATTTTCGGCAAGCTAGGATCAGAACAAGAACACATGACCTCAAACTAGAGGACAGACGTTTGAAACGAAACCTTAGGACGAACATAAATTAGTTACTCAGACAAAAAAGGTAAAAAAGAAAACCAAACAAAAAAATAAATAAGGGACAGCCTTGATGGGCGACTTGGTCTTTGTCCGCCGTCATTGATCTCTTCTCTCTCTCCAGGGAAGATATAAACTGCAGGTGAAGGGTTTTAGTTGAAGGGTCTTAGTTGAAGGGTTTTAGTTGAAGGGTCTTAGTTGAAGGGTTTTAGTTGAAGGGTCTTAGTTGAAGGGTTTTAGTTGAAGGGTCTTAGTTGAAGGGTTTTAGTTGAAGGGTCTTAGTTGAAGGGTCTTAGTTGAAGGGTCTTAGTTGAAGGGTTTTAGATGAAGGGTCTTAGTTGAAGGGTCTTAGTTGAAGGGTTTTAGTTGAAGGGTCTTAGTTGAAGGGTCTTAGTTGAAGGGTTTTAGATGAAGGGTCTTAGTTGAAGGGTCTTAGTTGAAGGGTCTTAGTTGAAGGGTTGTTGTCTTTATTACTTTGTTTCAATTATTTTGTGACCTATCATCAATTATTCTAATTTTTATAAGTAAGAATTTTGATGGTTTTAGAACCACCATGTAAGGTTGGCACTGTTATCCCAGGACACCACGGCCCGGTACACATCATCATCAGGACTGAGGTTCAAGATGGTGGATCTAACGACTGGAGCAGTTTAGTGTGGCCCTCAGCTCCCCAGAGGAAATGGAGAGCCAGGGGAACCACCGCAGGTGGCGACCTGGTTGGTGGTCCTTCTCCCTAATGTACTATAGCATTACCCTCTTGAGAGCTGCTGGTTTTGGGTCCCCCTTTACTTCCTGCACAACCAGGCTACATGCATTTTCCACTTGTATCTAGACACAAGGAACAGTCCATGGGCTTGTTTTTTTTTTTTTTAAGTTTTATTAGGGAATTTTACTTGGATAGGGTAAAAGGGTATCAGAAGCCCAACTTGACTGAAGAATAACAACTATGAGGACAGTTTTCTTCTCTAGACTACTACAAAAATGGCAGATATTCGGCCTGTGTTCCAGCTGGAGCCATGATGGTCTTTAGCAAAGTGACAGCTTGCCGGAGCTCTGAGTCCCCTCACCCCTTTCAGTGAACATAATACCAGCCCACCTGGCTATGGTATCTGATCCCAGAACAAGGGATTGGGTAAGCTATGAACTGTCCCTCTTGCCAAGAACTTGCATCCAGCAGACTTTTCCCTTATCCTGCCCTTGTCCTGCAGCTGTGGATAGAACTGCTTTCAGACCTTCAAACTGGGCTGGTTCCTCTCCAAACTATGCAGGCTGTCCTTCCCCAGTGTACTGCGAGGCAGTGGAGCTCCCTCCTCCAGCTCTCCACTTTCCTCCTTCAACTTCCAGCCTCAAGGCAGAAACCCCCTTCTTCGGGGCCCCCTCCCAGGCTACAACGCAGCACCTCTCAGCCAGTGGCATATTTAGGTTTTGTGCTGCCCTAGGCAGCACAAATTCATCTGCCCCCATGAACATCGACCAACACCCTCCGACCCCACAGACATTGACCAGCAACACCCCTGCCCCTCACCCAAGAGATCCTACCACTACCCACCCCCCCGGCAACAGAGAAAATGACACCACCTTCACAGCTCCAGGCATCCCTGGGAACAAAAGTCAGGCTCTGCATACACCATTAAACAGCCCGCAGCCTCTCTCAGATCCCACCTGGTTCCCATGGCATGCGTGTCCCTTCTTCCGGGGGAAGGTGCTGCCCCCCTGAAAAATGCCGCCCTAGGCAAACGCCTTGTTTGACTTGTGGTAAATATGCCCCTGCTCTCAGCACTCTATCTTCCACCAGGTTCTGTCATATTTATGGGCTGGTCTTCCACACTGCCAGGCCTCCTATCTCGGAATTGGTCAGATTCCCATAAATATGCAGATCAGCCACTCCTCACATCTGAGTACTGACTTCTAGAAGCTTCTCCAAGCTTCTAGAGGGGGGGAGGTACCAGAGGACTGACATGTAGACCCTCCAGCTTAACCCTGAAGTAACCCACTGTCTGAATCCAGGCTAACTACTCTGACCAGCTATGTACACCAGAGGACACTACATCACAGTCCTTCTCTACAGCCATCGGGATCACTTTTACTGAACTGCCGATCACCAGCTGAATAAAGTCGCATCAGGCTCATGGCTGCAACTTCAAGTCCAAGATTATTATTATTATACAGGATTTATGGCACCAACAGTTTGCTCAGCACTTTACAATATAACGGGAGACAATACAGCAAATGATACAGTTCATCACAAGAGGGTTAGGAGGGCCTGATCCTGGGAGCTTACAATCTAGGAGGGAGGGGCTGGTGGTACAAAAGGTAGTAACTGTGGGGGATGGACTGGGAAGAAGAGTAGAAGATTCCATTATTAGCTGAGGGCAGGATAGGCTTCCCTGAAGAGATCGGTTTTCAGAGATCGCCTAAAAATGGGCAGAGTAGGCGATAGTCAGATAGATTGGGGTAGAGAGTTTCAGTGGATGGGGGAGGCTCTGGAGAAGTCCTGGATACAAGCATGGGAGAAGGAGAGAAGGGAGCTAGAGAGCAGGAGAGGACAGTTTTGGTGATATTTGGAGACCAGAATGGTGATGTAATTTGGGCGGAGTTATAAATGGCTTTATATGTTATTGTTAATGTTTTGAATTTTATTTGTTGGGCAATGGAAAGCCAGTGGAGGGATTGGCAGAGAGGGGTGGAGGACACTGAGTGGAGGCCAGTGGAGGGATTGGCAGAGAGGGGTGGAGGACACTGAGTGGAGGCCAGTGGAGGGATTGGCAGAGAGGGGTGGAGGACACTGAATGGAGGCCAGTGGAGGGATTGGCAGAGAGGGATGGAGGACACTGAGTTTAGGCCAGTGGAGGGATTGGTAGAGAGGGGTGGAGGACACTGAGTTTTAGGCCAGTGAGGGATTGGCAGAGGGGGTGGAGGACACTGAATGGAAACCAGTGGAGGGATTGGCAGAGGGGGGTGGAGGACACTGAATGGAGGACCAGTGGAGGGATTGGCAGAGAGGGGTGGAGGACACTTAATGGAGGCCAGTGGAGGGATTGGCAGAGAGGGATGGAGGACACTGAGTGCAGACCAGTGGAGGGATTGGTAGAGAGGGGTGGAGGACACTGAGTGGAGGCCAGTGGAGGGATTGGCAGAGAGGGGTGGAGGACACTGAATGGAGGCCAGTGGAGGGATTGGCTGAGGGGAGTGGAGGACACTGAATGGAGGCCAGTGGAGGGATTGGCAGAGAGGGATGGCAGACATGGAACGGTTAGTAAGGTGGATGAGTCTGGAAGCAGCATTCATGATAGACTGAAGAGGGGGATAGCATGCGATGAGGTCGGCCAATGAGGAGGGAGTTACAATAGTCAAGGATATCCAGGGAATGAGAGAGATGATTTCCAGTATCTTTGGAATGAGCAAGTTGCTTAGTGATTTCCGTGGAGGTTAAGAATGTTGCGGAGGTTATCTTTGAGATATTGCGGAGGTTGGAGATGTTGCGGAGGTTGGAGATGTTGCGGAGGTTGGAGAAGTTGCAGAGGTTGGAGATGTTGCGGAGTTTGGAGAAGTTGTGGAGGTGAAGTCTACAAGATTTGGACAGCGATTGGATTTATTGTTTTAAAAACAAACAATCTAAGTAATTCAAATAAAATTGGTGCTGTGATCCGAGGACAAGGCCTCATCGAACTATTGGAACCGAGTAGCATGCTCTTCTGTTCCTCCTGGGGCAACCACCACAGGTGGTGGCAGAGCTGGTGGTCCTTCTTACCAAGGTCCAGCCCTTCTCTACAGCCTCCTGGACTTTTACTGAACTGCCGATCACCAACTGAAGAAAGTTAGCCCGAGCTCATAGCTGCAGCTTAACCACTTCAAGTGCAGGTCAGCCCTGTGATCCCAGGACACGGCCCGGGACACATCATCACCAGGACTGAGTTTGAAGATACGGATTGTCCTTGCATGCTCGGGATAGTTGGTATGTATGCTATTGCTCAAAGCGTATGCAGGAAGCAAGAACGCATCCACCGAGGATTTACTGAAAAACACTGAAAGATGGAAATATTCCAATTATCCTTGTTGAAAGAGAGAAATGACTTTATTATCCTTTGTTGTCTTGTGGGAAGAGCAGACACATGGAACGCCGGGTCTATAGAAACATTCCATCCACAAATATCAATCACAGAAGGTAATATCTCAGCTTTTCCCACTGGGCCCAATCTGTTTCCTTCTTTTTTGTTGTTGTATCTGCAGCCAATCATTTCCTGTAGTAATTGCTCATTGTCTGCCGTTCCTGAAATCTTACGGGTGTCTTTGTATTTGTGAGCGTTTTCTGTATTCCTTCCGTGTGATTTACAGCGGCAATCACCGATGTGAACGAATGGATTTGTGTGCGGCTCCGGACACCTCCGTTCTCACTTCTGCGCTGCGGATTGTTTATTTTGGGGCGTCTCGATTACAGCTGCGGCTCTGCGTGGTTTTTTGCAAATTAGTCGCATAAATTTGTAGGCGGCACATACTCTGCGAGGATGCACTCTGCGTGACTCCTGCCGCATCTCCCCCAGTGTGCACTTCAACTTCCAGCGCAGGCATGAAGGAACGGGACAGGATATCAATCCCGTCCACAATGGCGCGGGGGGGTCTGCGTCTGGTTACATAATATCAAAATGTTTACTGCGCAAATCACAATGATAAATACCGATAGCCGTCCATTAACCACTTACCGGCCGGGGCAGTTCTTTTCATTTCATGGTAAATCATGGTTTTTGCAGCATAATTACTTAGAACCCCCAAATATTATCTGTTTTCTGAAAGTAGAGGCCCTCATGGGCCATTTCAATGGTGACCCGCAAAATGGTTTGATGTTGCATGGTATTCGCACAGCTGATTATCAGAAGTATATTTTTAGGACAACATACATTAAAATGAATTTTTCTGCTCAGACCACCAGGGGCGGACTGACAATTCATGGGGCCCCCCGCAATAGGGGATCATGGGGCCCCTGTGTCCTTGCCCCAACTAAAAAAAAGCCTATGAAAAAGGTACCAGGGGCATCTCATGGGGCCCCTACTGACCCCGGGCCCTCGGGCAGTGCCCGAGTTTCCAAATGGTCAGTCCGCCCCTGGCTCAGACACAACATAATACCCAATTATTGGGTAAAACATAAAAGATGCGGCTGCGTCACGTAAATACGTTGTGGCTCCTTTTAAATCATAATGATAACAGAAATCACCCAATAAAAAATTGCCCGGATCAGAAGTATCCGCCCCCGGATCAGAAGTCTCCGCCCCCGGATCAGAAGTCTCCGCCCCCAGATCAGAAGTCTCCAGCCCCCGGATCAGAAGTCTCCAGCCCCCGGATCAGAAGTCTCCAGCCCTAGATCAGAAGTCTCCACCCCCGGATCAGAAGTCTCCGCCCCCTCCTTTTCAGAAGTCTCCAGCCCCCGGATCAGAAGTCTCCAGCCCCCGGATCAGAAGTCTCCACCCCCGGATCAGAAGTCTCCGCCCCCGGATCAGAAGTCTCCGCCCCCGGATCAGAAGTCTCTGCCCCCTGGAATGTTCGGCCTTAGTACAGACACACAAGATGACACACACGGGTTACAATGCCAATTAGAGGTGAATGTCCCACATCTGTGGCTTTATAAATTGCAATCACTTACGTGGAAGCACTGAGCAGGATAGATACTGAGTGTAATGGAACCGGACCCAGACCGCACTCGGGTATTTCCGTTATACTGCAGCTTTCCTGTCTGAACACAGATCCCCGGACACCACCGCTGATCATGCAGGAAATAGACAGCACCAGACTCTTCTTAAGACAGGAAGTGAACTCCTTTATTCTTACACACACACAAGATATATACACAGGGCGGGGAAACACAACCAGGGACAGGAAACACATCATCAGCCTGCCCCATCAGTGGGAAGGGCTGCAGGAAACACAGCATCAGCCCACCCCATCAGTGGAAAGGGATACAGGAAACACATCATCAGCCCGTCCCATCAGTGGGAAGGGCTACAGGAAACACACATCATCAGCCCGCCCCATCAGTGGGAAGGGCTACAGGAAACACCCCCCCACCCAACCAAGACATAGAACAATGGGATACAGCACATGGCAGAGGACAATGGACAGCCAAGTGGCAGAGAACAAAGGACAACACACCAATACACAATATACATTCACACCCTGTACCCCTTAACAGGAACAGGGTCTGTTAAATACAAGAATTTGGGAAGATGACACAGGGGTCCCCCCACCCCCAAAAGTCACTCCCATCACACTGAGCCATGGAGAGCAGAAAAGAACTGTCAAAGGTCCTGCGTAACAAGGTAATGGAACTTTATAAAGATGAAAAAGGACATAAAAAGATGTCCAAAGCCTTGAATATGCCAATCAGTGCTGTTATATCACCTATTAAGATGTGGAAAGTTCGGGGATCTCTTGATACCAAGCCAAGGTCAGATTGCAGCCACAACTTCCAGAAGAATTGTTCGGGATACAAAGGGAAACCCCACAGGGAACCTCAGGAGGAATCCAGGCTGCTCTGGAAAAAGACAGTGTGATTGTTTTGAAGGAGCACAATATGATAACACTTGAACAAAAATGAGCTGCATGGTGGAGGCGCCAGAAAGAAGCCTTTACTGCATCAATGACACAAGCAGGCCCGGTTAGGCATGTCAAGGTGTTGTCAGGCATATTGTAGCTGGGCCTTCTTGTGTCATTGGTACAGTAAAAGCTTCTTTCTGGCACCTCCACCATGCAGCTCATTTTTGTTCAAGTGTCATCATATTGTACTCCTTAAAAAAAACCACACCATCTTTTTCCAGAGTAGCCTGGATTTCTCCTGAGGTTCCCTGTGGGGTTTCCCTTTGTATCCCGGACAATTCTTCTGTCAGTGGTAGCTGCAATCTTTCTTGGTCTCCCTGACCTTGGCTTGCTATCAAGAGATCCCAGAACTTTCCACTTCTTAATAGGTGATTTAACAGCACTGACCGGCATATTCAAGGCTTTGGACATCTTTTTATGTCCTTGTCCATCTTTATAAAGTTTCATTACCTTGTTACGCAGGACTTTTGACAGTTCTTTTCTTCTCCCCATGGCTCAGTATCTAGCCTAGTCAGTGCTTCCACGTAGGAGATAACAATCTCACTGACTATTTATACACTGACACTGATTGTGATGTAAGAAGCCACAGATGTGGGACATTAACCTCTAATTGGCATTGTAACCCTTGTGTGTCACCTTGTGTGTCTGTACCAAGGCCCAACATTCTGGGAGGGGGGGGGGGGGATTTGTGATCCAGGGGCGGAGACGTCTGATCCAGGGGTGGGGACGTCTGATCCAGGGGCGGGGACTTCTGATCCAGGAACAGGGACTTCTGATCCAGGGGCGGGGACTTCTGATCCAGGGGCGGGGACTTCTGATCCAGGGGCGGGGACTTCTGATCCGGGGGCCAAGACTTCTGATCCGGGGGCCGAGACTTCTGATCCGGGGGCTGGAGACTTCTGATCCGGGGGCGGAGACTTCTGATCCGGGGGCGGAGACTTCTGATCCGGGGGCCGGAGACTTCTGATCCAGGGGCGGAGACTTCTGATCCAGGGGCGGAGACTTCTGATCCCAGGGGCGGGGACTTCTGATCCGGGGGCGGAGACTTCTGATCCGGGGGCCGAGACTTCTGATCCGGGGGCCGAGACTTCTGATCCGGGGGCTGGAGACTTCTGATCCGGGGGCGGAGACTTCTGATCCGGGGGCGGAGACTTCTGATCCGGGCCATTTGGGTGATTTCTTTTATCATTAGGATTTAAAAAGGAGCTGAACAACTCTGTGATAATAAATGGCATCACATGATCATCATCCTCCAATAAAAGAGCATTTTCTGGCAGATCCGTCATATTTTCAATATCAATGCCAACATTTCACAATTTCTGCCGGGGTATGCAAACTTTTGAGCACAACTGTAGATGTCAAGGCAGACTGACAACTCATGGGGCCCCCAGGCAATAGGGGATCATGGGGCCCCTGTGTCCTAGCCCACACTCAAAGCACACCCAAAAAAGCCTATATAAAAGGTACCAGGGGCATTTCATGGGGCCCCCTACTGACCCCGGGCCCTTGGGCAGTGCCTGAGTGCTCGAGTGGTCAGTCCACCCCTGGTCAAGACTGAAAATTGTGTGTCCAGGAAATGGCAACATTCTACAGCACCTCCGTCAGCATTCACAGGTCACCAGCTAATGATGCAAACTCCTGTGACCCATTTATTAGCCAACAGAGGGTTAAGGTCACAACCACTCCAGGCTCTGCAAGGATCCCGACTTTAAAGTCGGGATTCACCCCGGTGCCTAGATCAGCAGCTGGATCGGC